AAAGAAGAACATGTTAATGTTCCTGGGGCTTATATCCTGAAAGTAAGAAGAGGAGAGCCATCTAAATCACATTCAAGCTTCTACTTTGAAAAATTACTACTTTTCCTCAAAAGTCTTTCTGAATTTTTTTTTTTTTTCCAGAATCGGGGATTGAACTCAGGCCCTTGCACTTGCCAGGGAAGCACTTATTCCACTAAGCCATCTCCCCAGCCCTTTCTGAATATTTTAGAACATTAATAAAGGACAATTCAAAGTATGCAACCTGATATACATGACAGTAGTCAATATTTCTAGTACTTTTAAATGTAAATTTAAAAGTATAGTATGTATTCTGAAATTTGTGACTACCTTTGATTTTATGGGAGGCACCTAAAAACTCAAAAATTTAAATTTGATAGGTTCACCTAAAATAACATGATCCTGGGGCTGAAGGTGCAGCTCAGCAATGAAGAGACTTCCTAGCATGCACATGGCTGGGATCTGATCCCTAGCACCAAAAGAGAAAGGGGAAAGAAGGGGAGAGACAGAAAAAAAAATCCTTCAAAAACAAAAAATTAAACAACTCAAAATAACCCTTTGTAACACTTGTTTTTATTTATTGGTTTTACCTAATTAAACAATTACTTTAAATATAAATCTTTGTTTTTCCTGTTTATAAAAGTAAAATGCGTGCATTTTGAAAGTAAGTTACTTCACATATGGAGATGTACTTTTAAAAACCCTGGGCCAGCCAAATAGCTCAGCAGATTAAAGGGCCTGTAAGCAGGCACAGGGGCCAGGGCTTTGATCTTTGGGGTTTGATCCCCAGGCCTGCCTTGCCGGCTCTGCCCCCAGGACGCACTGAGCTAGCAACTGAGATTGCGTGTTGTGGCATGCACCTGTAATCCCAGCTCTTAGGAGGCTATAAACAGGCAGATCACTACGAGTCCGATCTCGTAGTGAGACCCCGAACACCCTATAGACCCTTCCCTAAAATACAAAAAAAAAAAAAATCAGCCTAACCCTGACCTCCTCCCACACAGAGAGAGCTGCAGCAGGTCTCCTGCAATGCCACTCTGGCAGCTGACTCTTCTGGGCAAGTGCCTGAGTTCTGGATGCCATGTGCCACCTGACTCTGGCCCATGGGGTCTGCCTCAGCCTCAGGAAAGCCCTAAAACCAGAACTCTGGCTCTATCCCTTGTTCTGCAGCTGTCTTCTTCCAATTTTAGGGTTTTGGTTTTTTTTCTGGAACCGGGGATTGAACTAAAACCCTTGTGCTTGCCAGGCAAGTGCTTACTCCCCAGCCCCTCTTCTTCCAATTTGAAGTGAAAGTATCTTCAGATTTTTCACACCATTTATAGCACACCTTACACAATGAGTAGTTCCTTATGTTTTTAATAATCCTATTTCTTACAACTCACCTTTTATTTTTTTTCTCTTCTCAGTAGAGAGTCTCCAATTTGGATTAAGGTCATCATAGCCTGGCTAAATATGAAAATATGCAATTACTTCCTGGGTCAGCTAAATAAGAAAACTGCAAAATCATCAAGAGATGGAATTTTTTTTAATTTTAAAGAGTAAAAATAAAAACAAAAACCATGGTTGAATACTGGTTGAATACTTCATCTCATCTTGTTCTTCTAAATATGTACTGTTTCTAATGTCTTATCAATTATTATATTCTCTTTAAAATATAAAAAGAAAAAAAGGATGAGCTATGGAATTTTTAAAATAACAGGACATAGAGATGATTCATTTCCTTTATCTCTACCATACAACTAATGGAACTCTTCCTCAGTATTCCTGTCTGGAAAAGCAACTATTTTCACACAATTTTCATGGAGCAGGGATTACAATTCAATTTTAGGAAGAAAACAGCACACACAAGAACAAAAAATTCACCAGTATATCACTGATACAAAGAAAGCAAGATGGAGGAAGTATTCTGCAGAAACACACACACACACACAAACACACAAACACACACACACAATGAGCAACCCCTGCAACCCTGGTTTTCACAGGCCTGAATGCACCAAATTCCATTTCACCTTCCAGCTTTAACTTTCTATGTCTAAGAAGTGTCTACCAAAACACATAATACACACTCTTCAAATTGAATTCATTTACATTCTAATCTTGTACAACATAGAGTCACAGTCACCTTTAAGAAAAACAAATAAGTGACAGTATCTCTCCAATTCTGTAAAACAATTGAGGTGAAGCCGCTGCCAGACACCCCTGGGCTTAACATCTCTTACTTAATCTCCAGAGCTGCAACAGTATGAGATAGGACCAGTAAATAAACACTTAGATATTTAATTGAAATCTTAACCCTTAAAAATCAAAGCAAAACAGAAAAAAGGGTCACCAAAAAGGTGACTGTACTTTGCAACAACTTACTGCATATTTTATAAAGAACTCCAAGATAAGAGTTCAAAGGTTTGCAACACAAACAAGTGACAATTATTCAGAGGTCTGGGATAGGCTAATCACCCAAATTAGATGACTACACACTGTACACATGTACTAAAGTATCATACTGTACCATATGCATCCTATACATATGTACAATCACTGCCAACTAAAAATATTTAACATGCTATAAAAAGAAATACTTTTTTTTTTTAATGTATTTGGTACAGGGTCTCACCTACACAGCTCAGACACGTAGTGATCCTCCTGCTTTCAGCCTTCCCAGCACTGGGATTACAGGCATGCACCACCATGCCCACACTTAGCGGCAGGCTCAGTGCACCCAGGGGCAGGGCCAGCACAGCATGTGGTGCGGGGAATCAAACCACAGTTCCTGTGCTTGCAGCCTAAGCAGGCACTTAGTCCACTGAGCTATCTCACTGGCCCTAAGAATTACATTACAAATGTGTTGCTAAACAAGTCAACCAAAATGTACCCTGTCATTTAATGCAAAAAGTGTACATATTTTATATCAATTTATTAGCAGCTCATGCTTTAGAACATCAGAAAATCCATTTCTTCCCATAGACTAAAAGAACTTCCTGATCTCTACTACTATACCTCACACAGTACTGGCTCCAAGAACAGAGACATATTAAACTTTATCAGAAAAAAAGGTTTCAATGAAAGGCAATTTACCTGCCAAAGGGAAAATGAGACATTCTGGTTTACACACCAAAAACAGATGATGAAGTTTCAAAGAAATAGAATCCAATAAGGTATATGTTACAGAAAATAATCAACTGAACTGGTTTCTTACTTGATCATTCTTGGGATTCTTTCAAATTAATTTTTGAGGCCACTGACTGACCCTATGTGGACCGTGAGCATCCATGGTACCCAGGGAACCCCCTGCTTCTGTTCTGGAGTACACGGGCAGTGTGGGCAATCCTAAGCCTGACTTCTCTCCAACCACGACAGAACAATGATGAAGGCTTGCATAAGACATGTAGATCACACTGAAATGTCCCACAGGATCCTGAGGAACAAACTGAAGGACAATCATCTAGAGAAAGCAAAGTGTGCTGTCTTCATCAGTTAGGAAGCCCGCCAAGGTGCATACTCAGGGGCATTCCAGAGCAAAGCACTTGGCTAGTACAGAGAGGGAAGAGTGTTGTGTGTCCATGACTGACAGCCCTCCTGGACCCAGCCAAGAGTGCTGCCAGGTGAGAAAAGTAAGACTTCTCTTTCCAAATTCAGGAGAAAATCATCTGTTACTAAACAAGTCTATTATGTTTTCTCTCTTGTAAGTAGCACATTGTGACCCTTAAGAAAGCATTGAGGTTGGAAGACAACACTATGGAGTACAACAAATACTGTGAAATTCATATTACTTTGTTATGTGAAAACTTGTATTACTTGTAATTTTTTGTTTTAATTCTAATTTGTATTCTCTTTAAAAAATAAATAAACAAATAAATGAAAACACTGAGGAAAGGAATCATGCCTTCTGCCCCAACATACCCCACCGCCACATCTGCCAAGAGGCACATGCCCAAGTTGCTCAGCATGTGCCGCAGGCCCCCAGAGGAGGACCATGTGGTTACAGCAGTGTTTACTCCAGACTGAAAGACTAGACTTGCTGAATGTCTGTAACCACCAGAATCCAAATATAATGAAGTCTCTGCTGCCAACAGCCAGAACCAACACTTCCCATGCTTGTTCACTCCACACAATATTTACCAGTGTCTCCCATGGAGCCGATGGGTAAGATACTTTCCGCACCAGTCCTCCAAGAGCTCACAGTTAACAAAACTGTCAAGACAGCTATGGACTCCATCTAGATGAATCCGTAACCTGCCATCCTCCCACTTTACCCTTCACTGATAGACCCTCTAACAAAATTAGGGTCACACCTACTATACACAAAAAGAAAATACAAAAAGGAAACACAAGTAGTTTTCTTTAAGTAATAAACGTCACAGAAAAATGGAGGCCAAATGTGAAATGTAAAAATACAAACATATGGGAAACATCTAAAATTAAAATCATGTAGTGATTTTACTCTACTCAAGACATGAACAAAATTTATCACTCACAGATTTCTAGCCAGATGGGTTTTCATACTGACAATGAAAGCCAAGGTATTTAATCAACCCCAAACTGGACAGAAGTAAGTCAGGACAAGCACCCCCATAGCCATCTTTAATCATTAGGTTTTACAGAGAAAATACTCAATCACACGGTACATATTATAAAAACTAATAAAGCAGCAAAGTGCACAAAGAACACTCCAGATGAGCCAAGTTCACTATTCCAGCAGAGTCGAGGGCTTCCTGCCACCTGACAAGGTCCTGAATGCACTCCCATGGCCTCCTACAGGCAGACAGGGCTGCCCACTCGTTCCGAGGCCACAGGAGATGCAGTGCTCTGCCCCAGCCAGCCCAGGGGAAGAAGGGGCTGCAGCTCTGAGTTTGTCAGAGACCGGATCCATCTGTAAAACTGGCAAGACAAACAGGCACTTGCAGCTCTGGTAAGCAGCCATGTGACACCGCTCAAGTTTCCCTGCACATCTGCACACCTCTGACCTCTATGGAATGAGCCACAGGCTGTCACTCCACAGACACCAAGACACCTGTACTGCACTCGTATCATATGTTGGCACCTCAGTTACCAGATAAAAGTTAGGGCTGGATGTAGAAATTATGAGTAGATACTCTGAACAAAAGAGCAGCTTACGAAGCCAGAAACCTGAATCAAAATGGAATCAAGCCAAGAATGGCACCATATATCCATAATCCTTGCACCCTGGGAGGCTGAGGCAGGAGGACCTAAAGTTCCAGCCAGGCTTGGGGAACTTGGTGATGACTAGTATCTTTTTATAAACTTAGCATGCTACTTTAATCTTTTCCCTTTCAAGACTAGGAACACCTTAAGGGCAAAGACTAAGACTGTCCATACTTCCTGCTCCAGAACTAAGTAGAAATTCAATAATTCATTGAACTATTTTATAATCACAGTAAGTCCTCACTTACAAATGTGTTTCTTTCTGGGAAAACATTTCTTGAGTCAAGATTCATTTGTAAGTCTGACAAAGTGAGTCTTAAACACCTTTGAAACAAATACACTAAGTCCCCAAATTACAAATATTTGAGTTGCACAACTTCACAACGTAAGGCAGTGTCTCAGTTACTTTTCTCTCATTGCTGGAGCAAATACCTGACACCCAAAGAAGGAAAGGTTTATTTAGCTCACAGTCAGTGGAGGTTTTAGTCCATACTCAGCTGGCTCCAAGGCACAGTGGCACAGCTCAGAGAACAACCTTTTCTGGCAGTCGTAAACAGCAAGAGAGCAAAGGGAGTGGCAACAGTTCAGGCAGCTAGCTAGCCTCTCTCTCCTCCCTACACTGTAATACAAATTACCTGCCCCAGGGCAGGGCAGCATCCACACCCACAACAATCAATCACAAACTCCAGAAGCTAACCAATGACAGCATGAGGCTTTGGGGGGACTACTAGACTCAAACCATAACATACAAAAAGAGCCAATGTGAGGTTCATTCTCATCTGTGAAACAGCTCATATGGTCTAAGTCAGGGACTTGTCATGTGTTATCACAAACAAACAACTACTTTATTTTATATATGTTATATGTAAGTTTTATCGCACTTTCTACAGCACACAGGACTTTAGTAACACACATACCAATGTCTGATCTAAAATACTCAATTTAATGTGCTGGATTCCCAGGTACAGCTGGAAGACTCCGGGTGTAGCTGGCTGCTCTCTCCCAAGGGCCCAAGCCTCTATTACTCAGGACAGGCTTACCAAGGACAAGCTTCACAAGTCTTTTTTTTTTTTTTTTGACACAGAGCACACAACACAGGTCAAGAACTGCGCATATCTGCTGGCACCAAAAAAATCTGCATTATACCCACTGAGAAAAAGGATTTATCTGTGGGCTTTTATAGGCCATCAAGTAGAAAAGAAATCATGTAAAAACAAATAATCAAAAAGAGATTCCTAGCACACAAATCTGATCTTTGAAATAAGAGAATGTCCCTAAACTCATGACCCTCCCAGTATGGCGGGACTGCAGGTGTGCACTGGACACACTAGCATTCACCAGCCTAATGAAGCAGCTTTCTCCCTTTTGTCTCTACACATTTACTTTTTTCACCTGCCCACAGAAAGGACATGGAAATCAGAATCAGAAGGATGAAATCAAAGTGCAGCTTAATAGTTTCTCGCTACATATAATAGAACAAAGTGAGATCAGTACTTGTTAAGGAACGAGATGTTGAGAAGTACGTATACCGCACGTAACTGCCTGGCAACCGCTGTATGCAATGCACCTCCATCTCACTATGCAGCAGCAGTCTGGGAAGAACATGGTAGAGGGAGCTACAACAAGTAGCCCTTTGCGACAAGGGACCAAACCGGGGTGGCACTGAGCAGGCTTTAGAACTAATCAGCTGTCTTTCTATATTAACTTATGAGTCTGCCCATGCCCAAGTGACTTGCCTGAAGAGCCAGCAACTGCTGTGTAGCTGCCTAAGGTCGAGGTCAAGGCCTACAGTGGCCTGTGACACTGTGCCGTCTCTGAAGACAAGATAGGCCCACAGCTTCAATGCTGATTCTCCCTCAGAACTCCACTGTAGTAACTGCTAACCTTAGAGCCCAAATAGCTCTCACATTAAGCAAAGATTTACTGCATAGAATATCTTTGATCCATTTTCACAAGGCCTTGCTCACTTTTGTACCCTTTTACCTGAGCTATTCCCTATACTTTTCCATGTGCCTGATATTATATACCCAAAAAATTGTGCACAATATAGAGAAGCCTTTGTCTTAGCCATAAGAGCTCTGACCTTCCTGAACCACCTACCATACACCATATTACTTTGTCTTTGCCATATACTCATCTATACAACTGGGGGACTGGCCAAACCCCAATATCCCAGGTGCACTTACAATGAATCACAGCTTCCAGAGCACAGGAGAAAGAGTTAGGCAAAAGCAGGGCACAGGGAGTGGGGGCCAGGGAGATCAGAAGCTGCATGGGGGAGCTGATGTTGTGACCCTACACAGCGCAGGATTCTAAAGGAAAAACTGCGTAAGAATACATACCTTCCATGCTCCCAACTTTGGACTAAAGTTTTTATTGAGGCCAGAACCCATGGGGTGTGCTGGTCAGTGGTGGGGAGGGTGCCATGGACTGGGACGTGTCCTTGTAACAACCAAGTTTCCTATTTGTGAATCCAAGAAGCTGTTTCTTCTGGGTCCCTCAGGCACTCAAGAAAAATCACTCATAGCTAGCAGCTCCAGAGAAGCTCCTGTTTAACTCCCCAGACTCAACAGAACAAACACCACCAGCCCAGAGCCAAGTGCTCCATCCCACGGACAGACTGGCTGCCTTAACAGGGATGGAACCTGAGGACTGCTGGGGAGCAGAAAATTAGGAACAGGGCCACAGAAGGTGGTGGCTCAGTGGCCAAGGATGCCAGTGCCTACTGGCAACCTCCCAAAGGCCCTGGTGTTTCCATGCAGAAGACACCACTGAGGCCAGGGGGCACACAGTCACCCTGCGCAATCCAACCCTGCAGGGCCCCTCTTTCCACTTCTGAAATCCCTGCCTCTCCTGTCCTGTTACTTTTCTGGTGGTGTCTTTAAAACTCCTGACAAAATCATGTCTATTCACTCCCAAGTTTTAAGATTTTTAAACAGTCTCTGGTTTTTTTTCTAAATAGAATAACTATAAAAATCTATAAATGACGATACAGAGAAATAAATTACAATGGCATAGAACAAAACTAAAGGCTTTACCAGTAAAAGAAGCTGAGTGTGTGCTTACAGGAACCATGAGATGCAATTAATCTTTGCTAATGAACAAGGGTCCCAAATTTCAACAAACAGCAGAGCCTGCTCATCAGTCTGCTATGGACCAGCACAAACCCAACACCCTAGCACATCCACAAGATGAAATCCTCAGCGCACCTCAGAAGTTCATCAGTACTTTGTTTAGGTGAATGAAAATAAGAAAACAGAAGGGGGAACAGCAACAAATGTCCTTATTATTCAGAGTTTCACCACCTGAAAACACATTACCCAAATGTAGAAGTTCCCAAACTGAAAAGTAACAGCAGCGTCCTTCCAAATCACCACCTTCCTAACCAAGAAAAACACAGTATTTTTGCATCGGTTAGCTGATTAATGCCTCCTTTGTGAATATGGATCCATAGCATGCCTCATGACATAGGAAGCACAAGGCGAGCTACAGTAATAGTTGCCCTGTGAGTGTGGCAGAGTCCTTCCCCTTCCAGAAGTTTCAGCAGCCAACGGTGCAGAACAGTTCTGAGGAGCACACACTGCATCTGTTGTGACTGCAGAACAGAGGGGATGTACTTTGCTTGGGCCAGCAAGGCCGCAGGCCTGGGATCACCTAGTCCACTTCAGTCCAAGTCCAGGGAGTGAAACAGGTCTAGAAGTGGTGAGTCCACAGCAAACTGAAACAAGGGTGCTACAGCTTGTATCTCAATGTCTTCCCAAAACCTGATTCAGTTGTAGGTGGAGAATTTCAAAGGTGACTGAATCAGGGGCTGTGACTGTGGATTAAGAGTGTGACGCTGGGATTAAGAGTGCCCCATTCTCGGCGTGGGTGGCACCAATCAGTAGGTCTGTAGCCTAGATTGAATGAAAGGGACAGGAAGAAGGCAGGTCTATTTGCTGCCTTCTACCTGCCCTGCCAAACCATGGACTGTATCTTCTCTGTGATGCCCTACATCAAGCCTCCTGCCTTAGAGCCAGCTGACTATGAACTGAATCCTCTACAAACTGTGAGCTGAAATAAACCCCTCCTCCTTTAACCTTCACTGTTGGACATTCTGTCAACTAAAATGGGGAAATTTTCCAAAAGCTGCACATATGAAAAGAATAACAATACCTAAGGAATCAATTTAAACATGTAAATAGGGCCAGAAAACATACAGCCACTTCTTCCATTCTTCTACCAGTTGCTTAATAATATTTCTCTTTATTACAGCACCGACCCATTACAGGCATTCAGGAGGCCTGATCCATGTTAGATCACGAAGCTACCACCACGCTGCATCTGCACACAGGGAAGCAGGCCAAGGGGAAAGAACTCACCTCCAAGTACACAAACATGGACCAGTCATCAGACAAAGAGAAGGGAGGACTTTTCTTTAAACTTTACCCCATGCACACTATATGGCTTGACATGGGCAGTCCTTCCTGTTCCCTTGTAAACTAAAGCCACAGAGGGATGGATTCTCCCTGCTTCTAAACAACAAAGCCACATGTTGCCACAACCCTTTCCAACATATCACCAGTACTGCAAAATTTGGAAAGAACTGTAACCTTTAAGCATCTGAACCTCCAAACTCATCACGCTGGCTTTGCCACAATTTTCACACCTCCATTCTGCATGTTTAGAATGTCAAAGAGGAAAGGAGTACATGTCATGAACAAATCACACGTGGTACAAAGCTTGTGCTGCACTACAAATTAGAACTGGACTCAGGATGTGTGCATTCTTCATCGTCCTGCTGTGCTATCAGCAAACACTACAGGGTCCTGAGCAACAGGACACAGTAGCACACCGAGGCGGGACCCACTTGCTCACTCTGCTCCCACACATGCAGCTGCCTCAGGGATGGCACGGCCCAGACGCTCAGCTTCCCGGAGAAGTGGATGGCTGCAAGCAGGCTCCCATCCGGAGAGAGGCTCATCTTGAAGATCCCATCCTGTGTGAGACCCACAAGGTCAGAGCACAGCTTGCAGACAAGCAGAAACCACCCCAGATCAACCGGAGCTGTGTTACATGCAGGTTTAACCAGGGTTCCACGGCCCCTATGTCCTGAGTGAGCTCCACACACAGGAACAGAAGTCCTTAGCTGGATGACTTTGTTGTCTACTTTACAGTCATAATGTATGCATAATACTAAGCTAAAAATACCACTTCACATATAAATTGTCATGTGTTCTCAATATGGTTGATCTTTACTAGACTGTGAATTCCTGGAAATGTGGGCCCAAACTAACAAGAGATAGTTAAGGGGCATACTGTCTTTTTCAGGGTGACCAAGTTGTAACCAAAACTGAGTGTTCAGATGGTTGTACAATTCTGTGAATACACTAAAAACCATTAAATTCTATACTTTAAACAAGTGAACTGTACTCTATGTTAATATTTCAATAAAGGTGCTTTCCAAAGTCATTAAACCATGGGTTTGCTTAATAGGACTTTCTGTATCTTCCTTCTTATATTAAACCACTAGCTCAAATGTCCAAACTATCTTTTCTTAATAAAAATTGTAATTAAAGCCTTCTACTATTGGCAGCAATATTCAGAGTAGGAATTGTACCTTCTTTCAAATCTTGTTATAAAATTTCTATCCAGACTTTTTTCTGTGAGAGGGTTTTAATTTTAAATGTCAAATTCTTTGTACAAGATTAGCTTAAATTGCCTCACTTTCTTTAATTACCTTCTGTCTCTACGAAACAATTAAAATAAGTAATCTCCAATTTCCTGTATCTTTCAAGTATACAAGCTATTTTACAATGAAAGAACAAATTCTAGTGACACATTCAAAACATCCTGAACTACTACATATTCTTAAAGAAAGAAACTTCAGATCAATATGAGGCAATGTTATAAGCACAGCTCTTCCAACACCCCACAAGCACTTAAGGAATATTATTTATTCACTAATAAACACACATGAGATACTGTTTTACACACTCAGTAGTCAACAGTGGAAAGATATAAATCCAAGCTTCAAAGAGTTCAGTGGGCATTTTAGCCCACTACAAGTTAGAAGTTTAATAAAATAAAATGATGAGGCCTGGCATGATAGTTGCACACCTGTAACCCAGCACTCTGGGAGGCTGAGGCAGAAAAATTAACAAGTTCTAGTCTGGCCTGGGCAACGTAGTAAGACCCCACCTGAAAATAAAAAAGGGCTGAGATGTAGCTCAGTGTAAAGAGTGTGGGTTCAATTTCCAGTTATCACAAAAAAAGAGGTGGCTTTCAAATGAAGAAAAAGTCATCCTCAGAAACCTGAGACAAAAACACTATAAAAGTATGCAGAAAAAAAAAAGACATATTAACATTCACCAATCTTGAGTAAATAGCTCTACAAATGCTGACTAGTACGTACATTGACACTGTGCACAGCTACGCACACACCCAGGCCAGGCTCTAAAACACGCTGGGTGCACAGACCTACCCACACAGGGATTCTGGTGACCATGTCTGAGAATGCAGGCTTAAGCAGACCTGTGTTACCTGTTCTTGGCCTTGGTGGCTAGAAAGCTTGACACTTATCATCCTCAGTAGTCCCAGCGTCTTAGGTATCTACAAAACAAGTGCACAGCAGATTAATGGAATGGCTTCTTATGTATAAAGTCATTTTATCATAAAATGAAAACTACAACAGACTTTCTGTTTTCCAACTCAATTCAGTCTTATTAGGGATCCCAGCATAATATTTTTTTTAAATAGATTGGATGGTTGCTTTTCAATCTTCCATTCCTATTTGGAAAGAATGTCTAAAGGCAATGACAAAAATAGCCATTTAAAAAGGATTCTTCCCAGAAGTTTTTTGTCAAGCTTAAGTCCAGGCTTTTCATTCTTTTTTCATTTTAAAATGAAAGGGTCTTGGAGTGTGTCAGCCTTTCTCGGCTTACTATACAAAACCTCCGTCTTAAGTCAGAGCAGACAGCTGACTGCATTGCTTAGGACATATACCAGGCTGGGGTGGAGGAAGTGAGTCAAACGTCCTTTGTCTGCTACAGCTGAGCTGCATCAGCAGTGAGCCTGTGTTCCCTTCCCCTGAGCTCTGCCACGCCACCTCTACGCACTGGTCTTACTGAAGTTCTCACTGTCCAGCCATAGCGGAAGCTGTCTGAAAGTTATTGGAATAAATTATTTCCCATAAGGGTGTGCAAAGGAAAATATATCTACTGGTTTGACCTACTCAGCCTCTCTATCCCTTCTCTGGATGCCTGTACTGTTAGGAGTCAAAAATGCACAGGAGCAACATCTTTATATAAACAGCAAGTTCTTCATTAATTAACTTCCTGGGAAACTGCTGTTTCTGAACATCCCATATTCCTTGAGAGGGAGAAATTCTATATAATGAACAATGCTTGCAGAATTATCTTTCTTTGTAATCTTCAACTTGCTCGATAGGTTTTGCTCTCCAGTTACTAATAGTGGACAGCAGGAAACCACAAAGGCACAGTATACAGCCCCATTTCAGCAGCATGACATCTCCTCCATCATCCAGGCTGACTCCAAGTAATTTCTGCTGAAGTTGAATTCACCATTAAATTTCTATTTGTGCTCTGCTACAGGCTTTCCCTAACCACAAATGGTAGGCAAAGGTCTTTTGTGAAAGGGGCAAAACACAGACATGGCCTGGTCTGCAGCCAGGTGTTAGGGTACTACATAATGGAAGAAAAGGACCATGGGAAGAATTTTGTTTAGGCTTTTAGCTCAACCAAAATTTAAAAGATTTATAGAAAATAGCTTCATGGGACTAGAGGACAGAAGTGTCATAGCCAGAAGAGGAGGTTGGGGAAAACAAAAACATCTGATAGAATTAAGGGACAAAAACACCTACACAAGTTCAAAGAGTACAGAGGGACCTGAAGGAATCTTCCTGAAGAGTAAAAGGTCAGGGCAAAGGGTGAGCAGGGAGGCACAGTGGAGAAATCTGAACCCGTTTAGGATTTAATTTTGGAGTGAATTTCTCTATGTGCTTTTTAAATATTATTTTGCCTCCTATTTGTAGGTGACTCCTTTTAGGTTAAAAACCAGCAACAGTATAAACTTCACAGGATGGAAGGACAGTCTCTCAATGTGGGTGAGGTGAGGAGCTAGAGGACAGATGGACTTACACAGTGAGTGAGTCTATACTTCTTGGTCTTCTTCTTCGACCACGTTGTCTCTAGCCTGCCACAGCCGGCATTTTAGTTCCTGTGGAAGAAGCCAGTAATGGACACTTATCTGCTGGTTTTGCCCAGAGCAGCAGTCCTTTCTTGGAGCCCTTTGGTTCCTCTTTGGGCTCTTTTTTCACAAGCATGGCAGCAGGTCTGTGTCCAGAGACTGTCTTTGTCCTAAGCTCCTCTTCACTATCAGTGTAAGATTCACTCTCAAAGAATTTTGCAGTCACCATGCAGCCTTCCGCATCCACAGAAGTTTTAGACTTTAACACATGCTTTTGTTTTCTTTTTTTTTTTTTCTCAATTTGAGTTCTTGTCAGACCTTCAGCACTAGGTCAGGAGGTGGCGATACAGGAGGAGGTAGGGATGGTGACTGAGCTTCGTAAGTCCCCAGAGAGTCTGGGAAGACTTCATCTTCACCGCTATCAGACTGAGGAAATTTGATTCTCCTCCTCTTTTTCTTCACATTTCCAGTTTCTTTTGTTTCATCATTAGATAATTCTATTCCCTTCCCCCATTTTTTTTCCTTCTGCTGCATCTTAACAGGCTCTGCTTTTTTGCTGTATTTCTTCAGGTCTACAGGAATTGCCAGCTTTGGTTCAGCAACAAACACTGGAGGTTGCTCCACTATTTTTTCTTCTTTCACTAGTTTATTCATAGCAGCTTTTCCAAAAACATCATTCATGTTCCCTTTTCAAGGTACTTTGCTGCCAGCCGAAGACACATGTGTTAGTTCTTTAGCCTCTGCTTTGGTTTCCTATTGGTATGGCGGGTTTTAGTAGCAGCTTTAGAGGCAAACATTCCCATAATTCCTTAGGGCTGCTGGGAAACCTGCTGGGGGGGGGGGATGGGCTATGATCATTGGTTGTCAGCTCATACAAACTTTCTGGAAGATGAGGATTCTGCAGGGACCCTGGGGACTCCAGCTGCACACTGTATGTCACTAAACTTGCTGCAATTCTATAAGTTGCTTTTAAGAATGTCAAAGTCAGTATTGAACAGAAGCCCACTGTCCATTAGCATAGCCTTCTGGATGCTGTACACATGGATGCTGGCAGTTACAGCTAGCTTGGACTTCACTGCTTCTAATTTATCTTCTCTCACTACTGCAACCTTGTGGCAAGAATGTACATTCCAAATGAAACTGCCAGACACTAGGTAGGTGACATGCAGTTGGGCTCCTGAATTCTCCTTGCGTTTTCTTTCAACGTAAGCATACAGTATCTGTTTGGCCTGGTTAACGTAAACTCCTAGTGTATAGCTCAGCCATGTGCATGTCACGATCTTGTTCTGGTCCAATCTGTCTATATTTTCCAGATACAGCTGGTCTGCCGTGGTGTTATGGGCACTCCAAGCTCTGAGCCCCAATCTCAACCACAGCTCCCAACGGTGGGAAATGACTTTTTTAAACTGACTTTTTAAAGTGGTTATGAAAAATCACTAATAGGTGTCAGGAGTTTAATAATACTCTGCTTTGTTTGGGGGAAAAAAAATTCAAGTGATACATTCTTTCTTGTTGACTATATCCATGATCAAATGCTTGTGCTAAATCTACAGATAGAGGGCCAGGAAGATAGCTCAGTAGAATAAGTGCTTGCCTGGCAAGCGCAGGGTCCTGAGTTCAATTCCTGGTACCACTAAATAAATAAATAAATAAATCTACAAGTGGAGAGTCTAAGGCAACTGCTTCAAATTAGAATCAACTGCAGGCTGGGTGTGGCAGCACACACCTTAATCCCAGCACATGGGAGGCTGAGACAGGAAGACTGCTGCAAGATTGAGGCCAGCCTGAGCCACACAGCAAGGGCCAGTCTAAAAAAAAAACTATTGCGATCTTTTCTCAGCTAAGACCCCCAGTTACCATTTCATCACCCAGCATCACCAGGAAAAATTCAGATCTAATAGAACTTTCACTTTTAAAATGTCATAAAATTTCAAAACAAGGAAAAGTAGCAGCACTGATAACATTTAAAAATTCAGCTGAGTGTGTACAGGTTTGCAATCCCAAATGTAAGGAGGCTGAAGCAGGAGGATCAAAAGTAGAGGCCAGCCTAGACAAATTATGGAGACCCTTTCTCAAAAATAAAAAATAAGAAAAAAATTTAAGCGCTCAATAGAGCTCAATCCTAAGTGCTCCTTGAGCTCAATCCCCAGATCTAAAAACACTGAAAAAAAATCGACTTTTATTTTATTTATTTCATATGTACTTTTATCCAACATTCGATCTTAGGACTACAAAAGGCCTGGCGAGCACAAGGTCCTAAGATGATTAACCTCACACATGAGATAAACTTAAGAGTTTATCAAGTGCTTCCACATGTATTACCTCCTTTGATCCTGGCAGACAGCTCAGTACATGACCATCAAGGGGTGAGCTGGAGCCTTCTGGCACCAGCACCAGCCTTCTGACAGAGTCTGCCCTTTCTTTTGGCCCAATACAGAATTCTGACCTGGTTGCTGTCACTGCTTATCGTACTCAGCTGTGGACACAGAAGTATCATATTTTTCTATCCCTAATACCCGCAGCCACAAGTCAGGGTTGAAGAAATGAACACATAAAAATACCCAGGTGGCACTGACATGAATTCAGAAGTTCTGTTCAATGCAGATATTGGATTTTGTGGTCTCTCTCACAATCCAGTGGCATGGGGAGACCAGAATATATACATCAGCAGCATCTTCCCATCAGTATCTACCCCACTCCAGAGCGGCCTCACGCCAACAGGAAGAGGAGGCTTGATGAGAACGAGGCCAACACCTGACGAAAGCAGCCAAGCCTACAACCTCACGACATTAAGTCTCTGTAGAATGACTGTGAGTTCAGCCATTAATGTAATTAAAATACACTCACAGCAGTCTGAGCAATGAATGTTCAGAGCAGGGTACACGGCTTGCACTTCGGTGTTTTTCCTACGTATTCTGCCAGTGCACAAGTGCTCTCCTTTTCAAGACTCCAGTCCCACGCTGCGGGTCAGGGAGAGAAGGACCCAAAGTGCTGCAGGAGGAGTCAAGGCACTGGGGAGCCCAGGGGAGAGGCTATCCAGCAGTGAGAGAGGACTCTAAGACCTCAGGTCCACCCAGAGCATGCAGTCACACGGTGCTGGATGACACAGGACCAAACAAACACACACTCCGCCTCCTTTATACCTCCGTGTCTCCTATACACTCATCATGTTTTTTCTTTTTACTCAACACGTAATTTTGCCAAATTTCACAGCTACAGAAAAGCAAAACTGATCTTTCACCAGGAACAATCAGTTATTTCTATTTTGCCACACTGTTTTATCTCTACATGTGCTGGTTGTGTTGTGCTGTGTTGTACTGTGTTGTGTGACTTGGTTTGGTTTCACAAAGTCTTCCTACCTAAGTTGCCCAGGCTGGCCTGAAACTTACATACTTCCTGCCTCA